GGGGGGGGGGGGGGGGGGGGGAAAAAAAACAGGTTAATTGGAAACTAACACATTCCTCCTATTCAAACTAGTCATCTCCCAAAATATCAGTGACAGCCAGTATTTCCATAAAGATTCTTTTTGCCAAGTTTCGTCACATATCTCAAATGCATCTAGTTGCACATATATTACAGGTGAGGACCCATGAGACTTGCAGGAGGGGGAAATGGCAAGTAGCCAGCCAACTTGCACAGCTGCAGTACTCATGCGGTGGCAGCTACCAGTCCCCTGCAGTGCTGCTGCCACCCACCTGGCTCACCTAGCAGTGGGGGGGTGACAGCTTCCACTTACAGCAGCATTGGGGGGGGGGTCAGTGGTGGTGATGGCTCTGGCCTCTTTCCTCTGCCAGGTTCACCTGGCCGGAAGCTCCTGCTCCCTCCTCCCAGCTCTGGCCCATGTGGATGCTCCTCTGTGCGCTCTGCACAAGGGCAGGTAGCACTCTTCTCTTTGGGAGGGATGTACTCCCTTCCTGGGGGGGGGGGCTTTCACATGTTTCTGCAAACCTGGTCATTCTCTACGTTTATCGATCTGCATAGGGGCCAGGTTCAGAATTACGTATAAAATAAATGTTGATATATTTCTGTTCCAGTTAAACCTATAAATGGGGCAAAAATGAGCCTACTGTGTAACATCATAACTTTCACAAAAAAGGATGCAATGATGGGAGCAAAGTGAAGGAAAAAAGGACTTTAATGTAAAGAACTTAACTTTTGGTTAAAGGTTATAATATTAAACTATTTTCTATGGGTTATTAGAATGTCAAAAGAATACAAGCCTTTCTCCCCACTGTTTAATAATGCTCTTTCAGCACAGGAGAAGTAGCAGTGATTTCTTTAATATTTTGTAGAGTACACACATGAGTCAAGCAGTGTTCCCTCTAAGCTGAGTTAGTGTGAGCTAGCTCACAGTTTTTTAGCCTCCGGCTCACACATTTTTGTCTTAGTTCAGGAAAGATGGTAAATACCAGACCAAAATAATTTTTGCAGCAGCCAAATGGCTCGCTCACAACTTTAATGCCAGAAGCTCACAAAGTAGAATTTTTGCTCACAAGACTCCACAACTTAGAGGGAGCATTGGAGTCAAGTAAATTACCAGGATAGTTAAATTGTGCTTAACTTTCCCACTGGAATTGGCAGGACCCAAAAACGCTTGCTTGGTTGGATTGTGCCTTATAAATTCTTGTGATTGCTGAAAAATATTTCGAATGACCCAACCATCCAGTGGACTATGTAAACACGGGCTGCTGCCTGCTGGAAATTCAATGTCACGGCTGTTTATTTTGCCTAGAGAGACACACTAATTGGCATTTCTAACCTGATTTTTAATCCATTGTTTTAAATTACTCCAAGAGGCTCAATCCCTTATTTGTATTCAGCAGGGAGAAAACATGGTTTGTTTAAATCTAGCACATGTGCAAAATTCTCTGGAGGCTGCACATTGTTGGCACATAGCCAGATATTCAAAGTTTGCAATGCCCTTGGCACAATTAAAGTAGTTTGGGCAGTTTTAACAAGGGAATGAGAAGTTAAGAGAGGACAAGCAAGGCGAGCTAAACTTTGAATCATTTTATCAGATCACCACCTCCTGGTAACAATACTTAAAGTCCTTCCAAGCACATTCTAAAAACAGCTGCAGTCCGGAGTTGACCCTGAACGATGTGCTAGAAAAGTCCAAATTGTATGCCAGAACTAAGACGAGGACTTGATTTGCATAACGCTCATTAGCATCATGGAATATTTTAGCCAGTACTGCTGGTTCTGAGGATAATTGCTCACAAGCACACACAGTGCAATCCTTTGCAGAGTTACTCCAGTTGGAACCCACTGATTTCTATAGGCTTAGATTGGAATAACTCTGCACAGGATTTTACTGACAGGTATTTACCATATCTAGATACCCTCTGTTTCTGTCATGACCTACGTTTACATTTGCCGAGTCAATCTTAGGACTGTTGAAGATGTTTGTTATTACATTTCCCACTGGCTTGGGTCCTTGGTGGTGGTTTCTATAACGCACATCAAGATTCTCTTCCAGGAACAACATTACTTTCATGGCCTGGGACTTTTACCCATAGCAATTCTCTGCATAAAACAAATTTCTTCTTTAGATTCTTACTTATTAGAATCTGTGCTGTCTTGGAGAAACAATGCAATGGCATCTAAGGCAACAATCCTCGCCATGGTGCCTGCTTATGTGTTTCTTGGCACCCACTTCTTTCTCCCCCCCTCATTCAGAACAATGGGCCAGTTCTGGCACCTCTTTGGGACAACAGAAGACCACAGAAGAAATCACCTTTGGGTCTGCAGAAAGCACCCATGCAGAAATACTTGCTCCCATCATAAAACGGTGCTTAGCCTTCACTTGAAACCTCCAGTCCCAACATTTGTAATTGCCCCTCACGAACTCCATTTTGTGATTTGTCCCACCTCCAATGGCAGCCATTTTGTGGCTGTGCCCACTATCCTTTGCCAGAATACCCAAAATGCCCACACTCTCAAAAAGGTTCAGGGTGCCTGGTCTAAAGTATGAGGCACCAGAAGCTGAAATTACCCTTTTTGGAGGTGGGTGTCTGCACTGAAAATGGTGATTATACTAAAGTCGAACTTTCTTTTCAATTTTTTCCAATGCGATTGAGAAAGGATCAGACTAAAAATGAGAAATGGTAATATTAGCATTCTAGCCCTGACATGGATAACCCACTTTAGCCTGGTCTCGTCAGATCTCAGAAGCTAAGCAGGTTAGCATTTCCCTGGTTAGCATTTCAATGGGAGACCACCAGTGAAAGTCTGGGTTGTGATGCAGAAGCAGGCAATGGCAAACTACCACTGAACGTCTCTTGCCTTGAAGACCCCATAGGATTGTCATAAGTCAGCTGTGACTTGATGGCAAAACAACAACAACAACAGCAACAGCAATGGATGGCATTATGACGAAATAAAAGCAAAGATACCGAATAGTTAAGGAACATCTTTTAAATTCTTAATCTCTTACGAATTTGGCCTAAGTACCAATTACATTCAAGTCCACCCAAATCACCAAAAGCTTTAATAATAAATGATATTTATTGTTTACAAAAAAATTTCAACCTGGAAGAAAAAGTATAAAGATAGGAAGCAAACTCAACTTTGAAATGAATGAAGGGCCTGAATCTGTCTTGATTTGTTTTCAAATCAGGACATATTTGTAATAAAAATTTAAGATGTCTGACAAAGTTTGAGAAATAAGCATTACACATTTTTAATCCCAGGCTCACAATGCGGGCCTGCTTAAGAACAAACGGTGAAGTGGACTCTAAATGTTCATGGAACTATGGGCCATGGATATTTGGGAGCCTATCTAGACAACAGGTCGATCGGTTGAACTGGGCAGATCTATTCCACTATGTGGCCATCGTCTCTCAGTGTAACAGACAAAAAAAAAGAACGTTTTCAATGTCAAGGGCTGTACTAATAGCACTGAACTAATAAAAGCATAACCTGCCCTGCCCTACTTCTGACCCCAGGATTTCAGCATCTAACAAAAAAAACAATATATACTCAGTAAACCTGCTTGTCTTTGAGAGAGATAATCTATTTTTGGAAGTTTAAAAGCATGCATTTCATTTTGTCATCTGTGGATTGCTGTGTTTTATACCTGATAATCCAGCTTGACATTAAGAGATGTTACAAGGGAGAACAGCGTGTGCCAAACAAAAGTACCTTGTGTTAAATTATGTCTCTCCAGGCTTCCCAAAAGGAAAAGGAAAAGAGTTTATATTATTTAAAACCTATGTGGATTAAACCGCAGTACCTTTGTCTGGACCATGCCAGGTCTCTGGTCTCTCAAGTGCTCCAGGGTAGCAGCAATATCAATCTCTTTAGCACCTGCAATAAAGGAAACCAAAACAACAACAAAAAATTAAACAATCCCCCCCTGCCAATTGGGTTGAGTTCAAAGCAGTGATAACGTGTGCTGCATCTTTCAATCTCCTACTATTGGATTCCCTTTGGGCTAATAGCCCAATTGAAAATTATACAGTCATCTCTCAGCAGACTTGGCAGACTGCTCCAAAACTGGCATTTGGAGATGGGGGAGGGCGGGAGGAGAAGAGGAAAGCCAAGGGTAGAGCTTGGATGAGCATTAGTTATTTAAAAAAAAAAAAACCCAGAGAGAATTCTTAAAGAGATGTCTCTATAGTTACAAAGAAGTGTAAAGTATATTTACTGCAAATTAAGAACTCACTTTTTAATAATCAATTTGTATTGCATTACTGGATGCATGACTGCGTGGGATGCTTACAAATTCCACTGGGTGTGTGCCTACAAATAAATTGGAATGATTCTTCAGTAGTCTTCCCTAGGTTTTTTAAAAGGTTACTGGCAAGATACTCAAAAGATACTATATCGAGAAAGTTTCATATCATTAAAACAGAAATTATATAGTTGGGGTGGGTTCAGGCAATTTATGTGCGTTATTAGGGTGCTGTCGTTTCCTATTTGCAATCAATTTATCATGTGACTTCAAAAGCACCACCTCATTTCATTTAATCATACAGAGAAAATAACATTGTGTGAATTCACTCTTGGACTTGGTTTAGACACAATGCAAAACTGATGGCTTATTTTAACTAGGAATGGCTTGCAAAGCCAGGATTCAGCTCACAGACAGTCACTCATCTACGGGCTCCACTCAATAAATCCTGGCTTTACTGCCATCTCTCTGTACCCTGGGAGGGTGTTAACAGAAAACACATCCGGTTTAAACAACAATTAAGCCAGGATATCTGTGTTCAAACAGTGCACAAGATCTAAGTTAAGACCAATGATGGTTAATAAATCCAACTTCACACAACTAACTGGTTTAACGGGCCCCAACTAACTACTAATGAATAAAATGGACCACCAAAAAGACAAGTAAATAGGTTCTAAATCAAATCAAGCTTCAATTCTCCCTAGAAGCTAAAATGACTACACTGAGATTATCGTACACAGGTCACATCATGAGAAGACTCACTAGAAAAGACAATAATGCGAGGAAAAGTTGAAGGCAATAGAAAAAAAAGGGAAAAACCAACACGAGATAGATCGACAAAATAAAGGAAGCCATAGCCCTCGGTTTGCAAGACTAGAGCAAGGCTGTTAATGATAGGACATTTTGGAGGTAATTAATTTATAGGATTGACCATAAGTTGGAAGCAACCTGATGGCACACAACACACAACTAACCATAATTATTACAATGGCTTGTATTCAGGCAATCACACTAACCCTAGTTTAGAGGGAGTTGTTGAAAACATCATGGCAAACTCTTGGAAAAAATAAAGGTATCAATATGGACTGGATTTTATTTTCCTGTGAAGGAGGAAGCTGTTTCACAAGTAAGCTTTCAAGTTTCTTTCCCTCCCTGTACAGCAGTACAGCAAGAGCTTTCAAGTTTCTTTCCCTCCCTGTACAGTACAGCAAGGCTGAAACTAAACAGCTGGCACTACTGCTTGCCAGCTCCTAGAATTAACATAGGACGGATGCTAGAGCTGTGCACCAAACCACACGGTACCTTCAGAACAAAACACTGAAAACGCCATGTGAAGCCTAACAACGTTTTTAGCAATCTCAGTACTTGACATGAGCTAACTATTCCTGCAGAGCTGGTGTGGCAGATCGTGTTGGAGCTGGAATGTGGAGACTTGGGGCTCAGGTGGTATTGGACAAGTGGAAATATGTCACCCTGAGCTTCATGGAAGCATCACCCCAGAAGCCTTCATAAGGAAAGAAACCGAAGGGTTTTTTTTAGTATCACCAAAATACAGATGTAGACCTTCAAGACAGAAATGATTCTTAGTATGGCAAGCCTATGCGAGAGAACCAGAGAACAGCAAAAGGTTACGTTAGTGGCCCTTTAGACATTACTGCAATGGGGAGGGTGCGGCTCCTGGCTCTGGAGGTGCATTTCAAGGCCTGGCGCCATGGAGGCAGGATTGCTCAGAGGGTTCTTCCCACCACCCCGATTCCAGCTCGGCGATGATCGTGTAAGCAACGGGTGCTGCTGTCTTTTGCCTGGTGTTTAATGGCTGGAGTTTCAGCATGGGACTTGTTGGAGACTGATGGCAGAGAAGATGTTACACCCCTGCTGCAAGAGCACCACCATAGCTCTTTATTTTGTTTGCACAAGAGAATGAGGATTCATGCTGAAATGACTGGCAGTTAAAGAAAGAAAAAAAAGGCCCGGTGAGTTGCTTACTATTCAGGTTATATTAAGGATGTGTTTTTTCACTTACAAAGTAATTTTCAAGCGCCGTTTCATAGACCTGACAGATGGGGTACTGTACCCAGAAGACCTGGATTTCAATTAATTCCCAACTTAGAGTCAGATTTTCCCATGTTACCCTTAGGCTGCTGCTTAATCTGCATTTCAGGCAGCTGCAGAGCGGTCCAAAGCGGTATCAAGCAAACAAACTCTGCTTTCAACACCAGAGTGCTGCTGCTGTGTTTGTTGTTAAAGTGGAAAATTATAAGAAAGGTTCCAGCTCGCTTTACTCATCTGTGTGATCATGTCCAATTTGATAACACACCTCACCCTAGATTTGCGCTGGCAAGCCAAAATCGTGACTATCCAGCCAGCCACCATCGTGCTGACCAAATCGGCCAATGGCTCAAGGGTAAGTGAAGAAAAATTTAGAAGTAATGTGATCTGCCACAAGTTAGTGTACATTTTTGTGTCTACCCTATGTGGCAAAACGGTTGGTTCTCCACCACTATCATGCCTGCAGATAGCCATCCAGTGGAGCTTTTCTGCACCGAGGTAGGCTACTTCTTCAAGACTGTGACAATATGAATTGAGAGGTTCACTCTGATGTTTGCAAAGCATTTTACAGACAATATGGCTTGCATCTGTCTGATCTGGATGCCTACTATCTCAGGAGTAGAAAAGAGCAAGAGTCCAGCAGCACTTAAAAGGCTAACAAAATCTGTGGCAGGGGAGGAGCTTTCATGAGTTCATATCTGAAGAAGTGAGCAGTGACTCACAAAAGCGCATACCCTGCCACAAATTTTGTTTCTCTTTATGGTGCTACTGGACTCTTGCTCTTTTCTACTGCTACAGGCAGACTAACACGGCTACCCTTCTTGAACTATCCTCGCAGCTGAGTCTCAGGTTTTTTCCTGATAGCTGTAAAAAAAATTAATTGGGAAATCTGGGGGAGCACTGGGGAAAAACACAACCTACTCCTGTGACCTGTTTTCGCTATTGCAACAAAGGCTTTGTAAGACAAGGTTTTTCTCACTCAAGATGTGTAGCATGAAAATATCTGAGGGCTCTGGAAAACTTTGAGGAGCAATGAAAAACTTGGTTTGATAGGAACGTACTACTTTTTCTAAGTAAATTAATCCATCCACACACACACACACACCCCCAACAAACCCCACCAGGACACACACACACCCTTTAAGAATTTTTTTAAGCTTCAACATTTCCAGAAATGGTACATCTGTAGCATCTTCAAGGGGTTGGGGGGGATGAGCGTTAGATTACCTGGGCTCATTTCAGTCTGGTTTCAATTTGCCCTGGTTTTTCTCATTGCCTTCACTAGGACAAAGACAAAGGTAGTACAAAGCGAATAAATCCCCAGGATTTCTCAGTGGTGGCGGATACCATTGACTATGGTACCCTCTGGACTGGCTGGCTCAAAGGAGTGTTGGGAACACCATGCTGCAGTGCCACCAGTTCTGGGCTCCTGCTGCTAGATTCTGTGTCATTTACACTACAGTGTTGTCACACAAGACTGGATCTTGCTCCCCCCCATGCTGTTTATTGTTATATACCTGAAGCCACTGCAGATTTGGAGTGAAGTGCTATCAGCTCTACTTCCCCTTCACATCTAAGTCAGTTAAAGGCAGCGGAGGAGATTGGATTCATACCCCGCCCTTCACTTGGAGTCTCAGAGCGGCTTACAAACTCCTTTCCCTTCTCCTCCCCACAACAGACACCCTGTGAGGCAGGTGGGGCTGAGAGAGCTCTGAGAGAACTGCTCTTTCAAGGACAGCTATTGTCAGAACTATGGCTTGCCCAAGGTCATTTAGCAGCTGCGAGTGAAGGAGTGGGGAATCAAACCCGGTTCTCCCAGATTAGAGTCTGCACACTTAACCACTACACCAAACATTTTGAACAGCAGAAATGATTATATGAAGACCAATAAACTGAATTTCAATCTAGTATGACTGATTTGCAGTTTGCTTATAATGGGGCCAGTGAAAGACCCAGGATTCCACCCATTTTGGACAGAACTGCACTTCCCCAAAATGAGCTTGAAGCCTGGGACTACAGTTCGCAGATTCAAGTCTCATCTCTTGCTAGTGGTGCCTTTTAACCCAAGTTGGTTGATGCACCACCAATGATCCTTTCTTTGAAAGGGTAATCTGAACAGTGTTATCCATGTGGTGTAGTGGCAGAATGTTAGACTAGGATCTTGAACCCAGAGGAAAGGTGGGACACAAATGTTTTAATATATTTACTAAATTAATATCTGGAAGTAAGTAAAGGTAAAAGTTTCCCTTGCTCAAAAGCCAGTCGAATCCAACTCTAGCGATGCGGTGCTCATCTCCGTTTCCAAGCTGAAGACCCAGCGCTGTCCTAAGACATTTCCATGCTCATGTGGGCTGGCATGACTAGACGCTGAGGTGCACGGAATGCTGTTACCTTCCCACCGAAGCAGTACCTATTTATCTACTTGCAGTGTCTTGCTTTCGAACTGCTAGGTTGGCAGAAGCTGGTACCAGAGACGGGAGCTCACTCCGTCATGCGGCACTCGGGTCTCGAACTGCTGAGCTACCTTTATTTGGAAGTACCAGGTTTCAATCCCCACTTAGACATGGGAGCTTGCTGGGTGACC